TGGATACACAAAACCAACTGAGCAAAGAAGTATTCCACTTCTCTATATAGCCTCCCAGCCCAGCTGATCCTCATCAGCCGTCAGCTGAGGAGAGTATCAAGTCAATAGCTTCTGACGAGCAAGGAAACCTGTGACCTAGGTGGTGTCCGAAATCGATCACTCCTTCCCTACTCCCTACTAACTATATAGTGAGTTTAAGGCAGTGGACTATATAGTGCACTCACTCAGCAAAAGTAAGAAAACATTTCAGACACTACTTGCTCTCTCGCCGGCCGCTGACAGTGACGTCATCGTTGTCGCTCAACTAAAACGTGCGGCTTAACAACAGCCGAGGATCAATAATAACGGTAAATAACGGCATGAATTTCAGTGATAACTTCTATTATACTGAGTGTATTTTCACGAAACATTTACAGAGAATAAATACATGTAAAATATTGAATTTGAGATATAATGAAACATATTTTCGAACCAAAACTCGTTTATTTTTTGCTCACAGACTCTGGTCTCTCGTTTGTCATCTTCATTAGGACAAACTAAACTCTTTATTTAAACAGATCAAAGATTTCAGTCGCACGCTCCAAATATGAACTTTATCATGCTTCTATTATCATGCTGGTCGCTCCTCTCGTCCGTCTGAGAGCAGTCGAGTCAAACGCCACTGTCCGCTCGTAGAAATCTTTCAACCACAATGCATGATGGTATATATTGCTTGGATAGTGACCATCGGCTGAACAGTACTATTTACAATGCATTCTAGGATACAATTAGTGGACGGTATAGGCTATGATCATGCTCACTCAGAATTCGGACACCACTACATAACGGCTTGTCCAATATAAAGTACAGAGAGTGATTCGGACACAGCCGTAGTTTTCTTGGGAATCTATCAATAACAACTAAAAAAAAAAAAATCTGTTTTTGTATGTGCTCCAGGTGATAGTGGAGAAGGTTTCTGGCTCTCAGATAGTGGACATTGATAAGAGGAAGTACCTGGTTCCCTCTGACATCACAGTGGCTCAGTTCATGTGGATCATCAGGAAACGCATTCAGCTGCCTTCAGAGAAAGCCATTTTCCTCTTTGTCGACAAAACTGTCCCCCAATCCAGGTAAGAGCGACACCTTTCTCTGCAGATTCCACAGTGGAGGTAAGATGGAGTAAGAAAGTTAAGGTCTACATTCATCACTTGCGCCGTGAAACACCGGAGCACATTCCTCCCAGGAATACCACAATGTGCATGTGCAGAGCAGAGGCTCAGCAGGCTGTGTTTTTTTGCTGATGTTTGTATTTGTTAATGTTAATTTTTGGTCAATTCTTTGAGTCAATGTTGAAAAGATTTATTGATGTTAAACGGTTACGTGTGCAGTTTTAAAAACAGAGCAGCAAAAAAGGGTTGTATAACTCTATAATGGGACTTTTTCTACCTTTAATCTCCACAATTCAATTTAAATGTATCATAGATAATGCTTTTTAATAAACCACATGATGCAGCCAGTAGTTAACAGTCTCCTCTCCTGACATCGCTGGCACTCATATGTCACCAATGCTATTATAAATATTTACCCAGAGCCCTGAAGCTTAACTCCACTTACATTCCCAAATCAATACACACAATATCATTATTCAAGTTAATAATTTATTATGCGAGTCTCATCAGAAGGCAGCCTTAAAGCACCAAAGGCTGAGGAATGTTTATGTCACAAAGCCTACTTTTATATGCACACATCCAGAGCTTTGGACACATCAGGGGGACAGGCCAACCTCTGTGCCACAGCCACCAGCTCTCATTCCCACAAGTACTTAGTCATCTCCTTTTCGTCTTCTACAGACCCACAAAGCACGCTCTGTAGGAGTGGTGCAATCGGTGCTTTCAAATACCTCCAGTGTAAACCTTTTTATAATTATTTCAGATGGTTAGAGCCAGTGTTCAGGATGTTGGTTGTGGCTGGTTAAAAAGAGCAACAAAGGAGGCACAAATGCTGGCATCACTTCCTGCTTTTTAGAGAAACTCACGAGTTTTAGCCAAACATTAATATTGTGTTATATTGGTGTTATTGCTCAAGGACCACTAACCTGGGGCCCGTTTCTGAAAGAAGGTTTTGTGCAAACTCTGAGTCAGTTAACCCTGAAATGAGGTAAACTATGGGTATTCTGTTTCAGAGGGGGAGGTCACTCAAACCCGAGAAAGAGGGGTAACTCCAGCCCGTTTCAGAGGGTGAGGTTACTTCACCTCAAAAAACAATATATAAAAACAGTTTAGTCCATTTTTAATTAACTTAGATATTTTAATTGTCATAAAATTATAAACGTTATACCTTTAAACACAATCTCTTTCAGTTGATTTAAGAAGTCATGATTGATTTAAAGTCATGGTGGCTCAGGACTGACTTTCCTCCTCATGTGTTACTACAGTATGTTAACTGTCCATCATGAGGAGCAGAAATGTTTGACTCATTGTGTCAGTAATCAATCACCCTGTGAAAGAGGATAAAACCACGCCTGAGCTCTCAATTTACAGAGACAAGAAAACAATATTTATCTGTGAGTGCACTTTGCTTTTGTCATTCTGAAGATGTGTATAAATGCAGTTTATCAGATGAATCTGGCCTGCTTCCCAGAGCTTTGTATTGTATTGTGTGTCACTTACTTAAACTATTGTTTATCTCACACCTGTGGGGCCCAAATGTGTCGGTAGTTTCAGATGAATGCAATTGTCCTTTAAACACAAAATACACATTTAATATAAACAGCACATGTTCCTGTCCCATCTGTGCATCCACGGTGGTGTTGATCTGGAAATGAGTAGCTCCTGCTATTTTAAAGGAGTATTTTCAGAGTGAACAGATTTGTTAACTCAGCTGAAACAGGATTCCTTTAGATCTCCCTCCTATGGCTCTCTTAAAAAGAAAAATTCAAGGACATTACTCGTCTTAAAAGTCTTAGTTTTTTAGTCGGCACTCCAATCTACACTGTCTTATGAGTGCTGTTTGATTATTATTTATCGATTTGGTGAATAGTTCCTGTGAATTTTCAGCATTTATGGCAGCTTTTTATGTACTCACACACAAACCGGAGAAGGAGCAGAAGATTGGAAATGCAAGTTCAAGGTAATTTGGCTTCCAGGTGAAAAATACAGGGGATGGTTGACAAGGCAATCAGTGAGGCAACTTGCAAGATATTCTTCAAAGCTTTAAAACCTGGGATACTGGGAATCAGTATGATCAATTAGAAGTCTAAAAGTCTTACATTTAGATTTTAAAAAGGGTGCAGCAACCTTGAAAAAAACATTTTGCTTCTTTAACTTGTTGTTTAATCTGCCTCTTATTACCTCTGATTGAACTAAACGTTAACTCTAAAACACACCCTTTATTAAAAAAAAAGAGACTTATGCTGCCTTCACGTGCTGCTCAGGTGGTCCAGGTTTCCGAGTCGGGACGTCGTTCTTCCGACTTCAGTGTGTTCACGTGATTTCAGTATGTAAAGTCGGAATGACGTATCGCCAGCAAAAAACAGCGTTGACGCTACGAAGAAGATCAGTGAAATGTAACTTTTAAAAGTTATATTTGAGCAAAAAGTTGATGTGCAATATATGAATTAATAAAAAGTATGTTAACATTAACAAAACTTATTTTGCCCCTCGTGATGACGATTCTGACGTCAAGTCGTCAAGTCGTGCACCTAGTTCTTTTCCGAGTTTCTGAGTTCTTGTTTTCGACTTGAGCAGGTGTTCATGCGCATTTTACAACTCTGAAAATTGTTTTTCCTATGTGTCCGACTCCACATGAATGCACCATTAATACACCTGGCCTTGCACCTTGCACCTTATTTGCCTCCACATTAAGTTGAGGTGGAAACGTGTTAGACCATGCAGTATGGATTAAGCCAATACACCAAAGCCCCTGTGTGCAACCCGAGGACATTTTAATTTCCAGATCCGGACATCGTTCTTAACAGGTCCACTGGGGACTTGTTAAGAGTTTGGCTGAAGACCTGCGGCATGCATGTCTTCTACTGTTTATTAAAACCAAACAATGCTGGTTATCTCTCTTTGCCTCTTAGACCATTGTCTCCTCTGCTAGAGAAACTCTTAAGAGTCCTCCTCACTACTTTCTCACGTTAGAGGCTCTCTTAAAGGCTAAGATGCTTGGTGAATAACTTTTATCTTTACCAGGATCTAGTCTAGTCATAGCTTTAAGGGGAAATTCAGAGAAAACGTCATGATTCTAAGAATTTCTCAGGAGCACCTCTTTGTACTGAGGGAGCTTTGTGAAGCCCAAAGCCCCTGTCATGTCTGACACCATTTACAAACTTGGACAGGATTCTGTTACTCCCTTAGCTGCTGGCTAAAAGTTGGAACATCATTTCCCCTATTTTCTAGCTTTGTCTCTTTTATACAGAACAGCAAAATAAGTTTCTTTAGGCAATTCAAAAGACACATTTTCTTCTGTGGAGTAGCCTGTCTCTTGTATAATTTGTTTTTTCAGCTTCCTAAATAGAAAGGATGTTAAAAAAAAAAGTCTTCCAAACAGCAAAAAAATAACCACTACTCTTGACTTCTGTCTTCTCAAACTCACATTTGAGATGTAAATGACATGAATGGTGCTTGCCTGTGTGAGCGATCTAATAGTGGTTTGTACTGTGTGTTGCAGTTTGACTATGGGCCAGCTGTACGACAAGGAGAAGGACGAGGACGGCTTTCTGTATGTGGCCTACAGCGGAGAAAACACTTTCGGTTACAAGTCCTTTTATACAGCAAGGGGTTAATACTTCACTGAATACACACACACACACACACACACACACACACAGACACATATAATTTAACATAGACACAGTAAGACCCCGTAAAATACTGGTGCACAATGTTTCAGAATTGGCCTTTTCGTGTTTTACAAGTAATACACCCATATACTTGGCACAGGTATTAATGGTCAGATTTTGATACTTAACAGTTCAAGCTTAAGGCGACATTTAATACACAAAAGTGCAACAACAAAGCTGTTCTATTTTTGTTGACAGGCTCAGATGATCATTAGTCTGAAGTAACGCTTGATTGCTTTTTGTCTTGATTGCTGTTCAAAGGTTGGTTGTGGAGAGAATGATCTTCAACACTGCCGTTAAGTAGGAATAACAATCACCACACATTAAAGCCACGTCATATATCATGGATTTCTAAGTATCAACCACGGTATTATGCTCCGAGAGACGCAGGCCAATCGGCATTCAATCACGCTCCATTTCCTTTCAGTCCAGCTTGTTGTCAAAGATATCTGTGTTCTGCATAAGTACGGTAAGGAAGAAATCCTGTAATCATGTGAATAGAATCATTAACCACGTTATGGATGTATATGTACGTGTCATCTTATCATGTATAACTACTTTACTATGTAACTCTAATTCCACATGTACACTTTACCTGCTCGACAGGCAATGATGTAGCTACAGACTTATAAATGGAGGCAGCTCATCTTATTTATGGTGTTCACATGGTGGCCATTTTCCCTTGATGTCTCAGTCAGGGTTGGAGCTCAACTGAGTTTATCAACAGGGTAATGTAGTTGTGCTGTGTTCCAGTTGTAGAATTGTGTACATATGAAAAATCATGATCATTTTACTAGTGCCCGACCGATATGGGATTTTTGGGGCCGATACCAATACAGATATATCGGTCGCATTGTGTTGATCCCTTGAATGCAGTTATCATACACTTGTGGAAAAGATATATAATGTAGACAAGATGGTCTCTTAACTAGAAAGTAACTGCGCATGTACGTGCCTCACCACTTGACACTCTGGAGAGTGATGATGCTCGAATGAAAGGCTATTTGACTGGTGAATAAATCTAGTAATATCGGATATTGGAGATAAAAAATGAGCCGATGCCCATTAGTCAAGTGATATGATATCGGCCGATATCATCGGGTGGCTGATTAATCGGTCTGGCTCTACATTTTAACTATTTGCAATTCACCAGTGACTGAAAAGTAAAAAAAAAAAAAAGTTCCAATCTTGAAGGACATCAAACCACAAGTCAAAACAAAATATATGATAAAGCCTAAGCTACAGTTGGTTAACTGTTGTCTCACAGTGGCTCGTGTACTTGGTCGTTAAACCTTGGAAAATATGGCCTGATGTCCTTAAAGATTTAAAGATTTTTCAATAGCCATTGTTTTCAGGTGCTGATCATTCTAACGGTGCAGCTCATAGCATTATCATTTGAGCTTCTCAACCTGAGCGTGACCTCAGGAAAATGGCCGCCATGTGGAGAATAGAGGCAGTGAATGGTGGTGATTGTGCCATTAGCTGGTAAAGAGGCAGCCAGTGGTAAGGGCATAATAGGAAAAGTGTCAGTCCTTAGAGTGAATCTCAGTGTCAGTCCAGACTGGAATCATCTCCCAGGACTCAGACACATGACTCCAACAGCAAGTGATAAACCTCAGAGACCAGCTGAAGACATTAACACTTCACTTGTAGTTGATATTGTTGAGTTGTCATATATTATCCTTGCTCTACAGCCTGTACATTGACCCTGGATTTTTAGATTAGGAAAGCTACACACAAAAAAAAGTTGTGTAGAAGAAACAGAGAGAGAAACCTGCAATAGATGCATTGTGTACAAATGATGACGCAAAAATTAAAGCCATTGATAGTTGAATGTGTGTTAAGAATGTTGGACTCAGGAGGACGTCGATCTACTTTGGAAGTTTCCAAAAAGGATGTTTCCATGTGAAAGTCAGACTCTATTGTATTTCGCTTGATGGGATGCAAACGTCGTTGTTTAAGTTTTCCTCAGAAATAAGAAAATACTGCAGGGCATAATGTAATGTTCTCAAATGTTAAAACCTTATTGTAACCAGGCTCTACTTTTTAAGTTTGTTGCTCTGAGTGCATGCCTATTAAGATGAAAAATGTACCTGAAACTGAAAGCAGCACTGATAAAAACTCTGATATAAGAAATAAATCACATGACTATGAGGTTGTGTTCTTCTGAGCTTTGTTTGCAGACAATGGTGGTCAGCTGTTAGCGGTGTAAACGCTCTGATTAACCCTCTATAACTACACACCTAGCACAGAACAGCAGACATCAGCTACAGGTGAGGGAGTGTTCTGTGTACAAGTAGAAGATGGAGAAAGCTGATTATGAACGAGGACGTTCCTGGTTCTGTTTTGTCCAGTTGTTCTTGTTGCATAATGGAGGCGGTGTTTGTGGGTCATTTCACGATAAACACTCAAGTATCATTCTGAGACTTGGCTGGAAATTTAAGCAGTCAGTGCAGCAAAGCTAAAGGAAGCAGGACATACAATAACTCATAACGTAGCACTGAAAGAAGAACTTTACACCAACAACAACAACAACAGTTTACTCTTCTTGTGGAGGCATTGCCTTTACATATTGTTCCACAGTTTTTCTATTCTCTGTGATACTCTGCAATGCAATACTCTGTGAGCCATCAGCTTGTTACCATGTATACATGATAACATCACATGTATTACTTAAACAAGATACTCTCCTGTTGGTTAAATACGTGAGTCATTAGATTTGTACTGCTGATAATGAGGCATTGTGTTTGACCATATCCAGTCCTTTCTTGTTCAAATTTTAATGATTAATGATCAAAATGTTTGATGCAGAAATGTTGATTTATAAAATCGCCAGGAGTGTATCTGTAGAGTGCAGAGTTTACACGCTCGTTAGGTATTAGATTCACTTGTTAACAAGTTAAGAGTTGCTCAGGTCTTTGTGCCGGCAGATGCTGAAGCTGATGTTTTGGCTGCAGTTGTAGTTTTGGTGCCGAATCAGAAGAGGACATATATATAGTGTATTTCCACCCTTTGATTCATGCTTTGAAACATGGTATGTAAACGTGCAATATATTGATGGAATGCTATCATATTCAGTATTGTTTTATGTCATCAGTGTTTGATTGTTAAATATGATCTTAATGGATTTTTAGATATTTCAAAAAGGTAAGGTAGCTGGAAGACCTGACCAATAAAATGAAATCAAAATGAACTCCAAGTTGTTTCTGTCTTAATTAAAATTCATATAACGATGTCAGTGCACATACATGTAGATGTAGCATGTAGAGCACTTCTACATCTAACAAAAGATGTGACTCATCTCCCCTGACTGGACTTTTGAAGTGCGGTGTCTATAGGCGTGTTCGGACACGGCGTGTTCTTTTTTTTTTAGTGATTCTGCACCTCAAGAACTATTTTAGTTCCTAGAACCCCGAATAGAGGAACCGTTTTAGCTCCTGCTTCAGAGGAGGTACTCTCTCAGCGCCATGGTAGTGCAAATGCAGACAGAAAAAAACAGTTCCCATGGTGTTTAGTTCTCAGGAAACTCCCTATCAGACAGTTCCTCTTCAAAAAGTCCCCAGAAATGTTTGGTCTGAAAACACCTCATGCAGCCTTTTTTAACAAGTTTTTGACCTCAGATATGAAAGTAAATGGTAAATGACTTTAGTCTTCTGAGGTTACTACGTAAAGTGACCTTCAGTATTCACTAATCTCATTCATACACCACCGACGAAGAAGCGGGAGCAACTTATGGTTAAGTGTCTTGCCCAAGGACACATCGGACATGTTGCTGCAGGAGCCGGGGATCGAACCTTCCTGTTGAGAGACGACAGACTACCAACTGAGCCACAGCCGCCTCAGTAAACTACACATCCAATTAAACTAGCAGCCCCTGAAGTCCCAAAAGTAAATAGTTATATAACTCATACAAACAAGTTTTTTTTTGTACTTTTTGGGACTTCAGGGGCTCCGTAGATTATAGTCTCTGTAAACTACACTTCAGACTCCTGCCTGGTAAACAGTGGTGGGGGAGATTCTTTCAAAGCAAAGTTGCCGGTTAGTTCACACTGGAAGAGGTTTAACCACAACAAAGCTACCCCAATGAAATACAAAAGAAATTAAATCCATCAAAACAACTTTGTAAAAACAAAGACTGAACTGACAATGTAAATATAATATCATATTTTATCATTGTATGAAAATAAAGTCAGAAACTTCTAATGTATAAACATGCCCAATAGAAACAAAATACCCAGCTTCTCATGGGTAAGGGACGCTTGTGAGGCGATAACATGTAGCACACTGTTCTGTATTAGCCGAGCTCAGATGGGATGCTACTTATCAGTAGAATCTGCTGAGATTCAGCAACAACACAAGTGATCCTCAGTCCCTGTGTTGATCTGCTGTCTGGATGTCAATGCGGGACTGTTAGTAGAAGTTTGCTATTTGTCCTCATGAGTGACAGCAGAGTCCCAGAGGACTAGAATCATTTATAATACCAAACACACTTCAGGTCAATTGTAGCAAATCGAACTCGGAACCCTTTTGTTCACACACAGGTGTGTCCAGCTGTGGCTGTAGAGAGTGACCCCCTAGCAGCTGCATTCGCAACATGTTACACTCATTGTGAAAATAAAGCCATCATCTGAGGACACTGAGGAGCGGTCATCGACCTCTCTTACCAGCAGGACAGAGCACAATGTCCTGCTGCTTTAAGCAGTGAGAAAGTCAAAAATAGTCGAATAATATTTATCCAGATTGACCAGATGACCAAACCAGTGATGGGAAATTAACTCTTAAAAATCAGATAAGTCAAATTATCCATTTATATAAAGAAGATCATGATTCAGGTTTTCTGTAATTTACCCTTTTCTGCTGTCCTTTGTTTAAAATGTGAGTTTCACGGGCCCAGGATAGACCAATCCTCTCTCCGACCAGCAGTTCTTTAACCCTTTGATCCTTGCTACAAAAAAAATGCACTATTTTCATCGATCCTATCGAGGACACCTCAGCTTTTCAGCGGAAGAGCAGTAGATTTCTGTCACTGCGTGGCCACAGCGGGAAGGCCTGGCTGTGGAGCTGCTGCCACGCCTGCTGGTGAGCCTGAGAGGCCTTCTTGTAGTCCCAGTAAGTCTGCAGATCTGCTCCCCTGAAATATAACAAAGAAAGAAATCACTGCTTACTAAGACACTTGAAAGCAACATAGCCATTACTTGTGTTAGCACATTGGTTTATGTCCAATGACAAGTCAAAATGCGTGGAAAAAGGAGCTAACTGTAAGGAGATTAATATTAGAATTAGCATCAGGTGACTTGAGTTTATGCATTAAGAGTCAAGCGGAGACTTTGGATTGCCGCTGCTTTATTTTATGTCCTCTTACACATGAAACTCTATCAAATCAGACAAAAATTGGAGACTAACAAATATCTTATATGTCCTCTCCACTGGACACACTATTGTCAACACAGATAATGTTGTCATTGTATGCTGAGTGTGTATGTGCATGTGTGTCTATGGTTCAGGGCAAGCTGGACTGGGATCGGGTTATCTGCCAAAACTCTGATAAACAGAGAGACTCTTGTTCTGCTGTTTGAGGACGATTCTCAGCCATCTGTACGCACGCAGACACACACCTAATTACACTCCTACACACAAAGAATGTGAACATGGACAACCCTGGAAGCACTCGTGGAGACTTATAAATGAAATGTGAGAACTGCATGACAGGCAGGCACACACACACACACACACAATTTGTTGGGTAAAATCTCAACAAGTAATTTGAAACTCTTTACTATATACTACGAAGAGAAAAACCTGGGACATTGGTTGTTCAACTACAGAAAAAAAAAAGACAAAAACATGAGTTTCAAACAAAAGCACAAGAAGGTCATGCACGGTAAGAGAAGAAGTGACACACACAGGCCTCAGTCAGCGCATTATGTTAAATGACAAAAACATCACTCTTCATCTCTGAGGCCTCATTATAAAGCCTCATCTCAGATCAAGAGCTTCACCTGAGGTGAACATCAGACCCTCAAAGCATTAACTTCTACACATCTCTAATTCTGGAATTTAGATTCAGATTGATGATCAAAAGTGACAAAAAAAAGAAAAACAAAAGTTTTAGAATTGATTGCTTCAGGCTAGTTCTGCTAGATAGTTCGCCTTGTTACTGTTGCCAATTCCTTGCTCATGGTGCATTACAATATAACAGAGAGTACAGAGATAACTTTTGTTGTGATTTGGTGTTCCATTAAAATAATTACTTAATTTAATTTAATTTTAAGAAGAAACAGCCATTATTGATTGATTTAAAGTCTCCAATGACCATAAGAACATAGAACATATGATGAGGAACACAGAAGGTGCTGATCTACCCCCGCTTTGATTGGTTAGTGTTTTAGTGAACATAACGTTTAGATAATAAATGTTGTGATCCGTTTAAATACTAAAGTAACAGTGAAAGGAATCTTTTATTGTGAATATTTGATGTAGAAAATGTAAAGGCTGTTTCTTCAACATGCTGTGAATCGTCTAATCGTCTGACACCTACAGCTGTTAGAGGCATTCAAATTTAGAATATAGAAATAATCAGTCTTATCACTGATGGTCTTATTTGATTCTGTAGGTCAAATAGAGGCATCACAATCAATTTAAGTGTTTCATAGTGGGTTAAAAAGTAGTTCAATGCAGTTTAAAGCAACAGCGAGATTCATGAAAAAAAGCCAATCTTTAATCACCTGAGAGAGTCGGTCGTGCTGCAGGGTCAGTGGCCGATACCAGAGACAGGAAGGAATGGAAAAGCTCCAGTTTCACAGGAGAGACCTAAAGAGGCACAAAAATGTATACAAATAATTAAAAAATAATGGAAATAGTGAAAAAATGAAAGAAACTGAATTTGCTTCATACTGATGTCGTGGGATGAGAGTGCGT